TATAAGAGAAGGTAAGAGGGCCCCAGCATCTCTCCTTCCTCTTTTCCACTCGCTGAATCCCTGGTCTTTTGGAGTTTGGCACCCAAGAGCCAGTTTGACTAGTTCTGGCCCTACCTAGCTTGGGCAACTATATAGGGCCTCTTTCGGTGCAACCCTGTTGGTCCTGCTCTTGTATTTACCTTTCATTGATAATCAACTCTTAGATACTGAGCAGGGCCTTGTATATTTGAAGGATTGTCTCACGGGAGGTGGCCTGGTATAGAAGAAAGTGCCTGGGATTTGAGAATAAGGAAGTGTTGAGTTTGAATACCTGCCTGGCTACTCAATACCTGTGTAACCTTGGGCGTGTGGCTTCACCTGCTCAATCCTTAGTTTCTTCATCTGGAAAATGAGATTGTTAGGATTAAGTGACAGTGTGCAAAAGTACCTAGCAGCAGGCCTGGTGCATAGTAGACTGTAAATATACATTACTTTCCTTCTTCCTTTCTCAAGCTGTGCTTTGCTAAAGCACCAGATTGATGTTGGGATTTATGAACTATGTCTGTCTTCATTCAGCTCCTTGAGGAAGTCTTTTCCCTGAGTTGAGCCTTAGAGGACTCGTATGGTGAATGACAAGACATCAACAGAACCTTTTAGTGCTGACATTCTGTGAATTGATGAATCCATATTTGGGTCTTCTGGTCATTTCTATGCTTCTTGTTACTCTTACTGGAAGATAGGAAAATTTTTCTATTTTGACAAGAAATAATGTTGCATCTAGAAAGAAGGCTTACCATGGGAGGTATGTCACATCTGTGTGGGCACCTCAGCTCCTTCCTCGATGATGGAAAAGGGTAAACCCTATGCTTTCCACTCTTGGGGAGTGAGATCTCCTTTCAGGTCTTTGGTGGCAGAAGAACGCTTGAGCAAAAAACAAGGCATTGGCAGTGTCTTTGTAAAACCATCAGTCTCTCTCTCTTTTTTTTTTTTTTGGTGAGGAAGACTAGCCCTGAGCTAACATCTGCTGCCAATCCTCCTCTTTTTTTCCTGAGGAAGACTGGCCCTGGGCTAACATCCGTGCCCATCTGCCTCTACTTTATATGGGACGCCGCCACAGCATGGCTTGACAAGCGGTGCATTGGTGCGCGCCTGGGATCCGAACCTGTGAGCCCCGGGCCACCACAGCGGAGCGCATGCACTTTACCACTGCACCACCGGGCTGGCCCCCATCAGTCATTTAATAGGAACCTGCCCTGTACCCTACGTTGTTCCAGGAAATTTAGAAGTACCAGAAATGTAGTTCCTCCTGATTTGCTGACATCCTCACGAATGATTGCTGCCAGCCCAGAGTGGCACTGGAATCTCCTTCCCTCTCCCTGCCCACTCCCTGCTCTTCTCTTCCTCTTCCCTGTTCACTGCTGGTGCAGCAGTCAGGGTCACTGGTTGGCTGTGGCTGGGCGTGGCCCTTTCTCTCACCAACTGCTGTGTCTCCACTGCAGAGTCAGCAGGACCAGCCAGTCTCTGCAGCAGTGGTCCTCAAACCTGGCGGCACAGTGGAATCACCTGGGGGCTTTAAACACATGCAGGTGCCTGGGCCTTCACCAGATCAGTTAACACCGTGGGGATGAAGCATGGGTATTGGTTGGTTAAAAATCTCCCCAGGTGATTCACGTAGACAGCCTTCCCACTAACCTGTCTCCACTCCCCATCTGCTCAGAGGCGTTCATCTCTGATGCCTTCTGTCCTTCTTCCTAGCCCCTTCCTCAACTCCGTCTCCTCAGGTCCTTGACCCTCTTTTGGTTGGGACTCAGTCCTTTCATGCCTGCCCCACCCAATTTCTGTCCTACAGGAACCCTGCCCCAGGTCATGGGAACTGCAGACTCAAGTGACGCCTGAGTTTGAAACATGAACAAGTCTTCCCAAAGAAACATTGTTTGCCGGTGGTGGGTAGAGGTCTGCGTTACTCTGTGACTGTAGCGGGCTTTCATGGACTGGTTTGGGAACTTAACTGCCATGCAAATAGTGTTTCATTTAAAAATTGAGTCAGCTGTGTAGAGGAATAAGATTCTACTCATGCCCTCAGTGTGCTTAAAATCTAGTTAAGAAGAGACAGAAGATACTCCAATATAGAAGCCAGGGCTAGATTTTGTCATGTAGCCCAGTTGTTCTCAGTTGGGCCTATTTAGGGATCATTTGGGAACGTTTAAAAAATTTACTTGTTCTGACCACATTCCACTTGATTCCGATTCAGTGTTTTGCGGTGAGGCTTGAGCCTGGGCCTTTTAAAATGAGCTCCCCAGGAGATTCCGATGTGTACCAGAGTTGGAGAAGGGTCAGTGTACATGAATTCAGGGAGCGGGGAGGTCAGGGTGGGCTGCAGCCGTCAGAAGGCTTCGTGAAGGTGGGTCCTAGTTTTGTCCTTTCCCTAAAGGAGATGGTTCTGTGGCCAGGAGAGGCAGCTTGTAGAGGCTCCCCGCCCACTCTGACACCCTGCCCCTCCCCAGGTGTTGTTTCTTGGCACTCCTGCCCTGACATCTGTCTGCCGAGGCCCTCAGCTCAGGCATGTTGGCACATTCTTCCTTGACTGGGAAGTGTCCGCCTTGGGCTGCCACCCTGGCAGCGAGCTGTCACCATGAATCTCCTAGGTCCAGTAATTGGAGTGGACACTGACTCGTCACTTTGGATCAAGCCTCAGTGATCCTGGGGCTGTTTTCTCCTGTCATTCATTTTCCCCCCGGGGTGGGGAGGAAGGTGGGGAAAACTGCATTTTCAGACATTCGTCATATTTTCCTGGCTTCTCATGGTGGAGAGAGGAGGTACATGTGAGCCTAGGAGCAGACTGTGAGTGAAGGGAGTGAGGACACCGCCCACCCCCAGGGTAGCTGGGCCCGGAGAACTGTGTCTTTCCCTTTGAAGCGGGGGCAGGGGACTGAGGGTGGAGCAACCCTGGAGGGGTGGAGGGGATAAAGTAGTTGAAATCTGATTGGCTCATTACGTGTGGGTTAGTGTCCAGATGGTTCCCCAAATCCCACTTCATCACTCATAATTCAAGATAGGGCTCTGGAGGCCTTTGGGCTGTGGTTTGGGGTGAGGAGAGTGAGTTGTGCAAGACCAGTCCTGAGACTTGGCATCGGCATCTTGTGATCAGCGTTGTGGGTCGGGGATAGGAACTACCCTGGGCTGGGCTCTCTCTGTGTATTTTCATGTAATTCTCACAACAAGCTTATGAAACGGGCCTTATTATCCCCATTTTATAGGTAAAGAAACTTGCCTGCAGTCGTAGGGCGATAATGTCACAGCTAGAATTCCAGCAGCTCAAGCTTTTTAGATTACACTCTGCTGCTTCTAGAGCATTGGAGTGGAAGTCAGCTGAGCTTTAGTTCAGGCTCTGCCATCAATTATGTGACCTTGTACAAATCCCCTCACTCATGAGTCACTTTCCTCAAGTGTAAAATGGGGGCTGGGGGTGGGCCAGGTGTAAGGTGTCCAGCAGGGGCTGTGGCTCCATGTGTCCCTGGAGGCTGCAGATACGGGCCAGCTTTTGGGAGCCTCACTGTGTGTGGAGCTGTCTTTGCTCGGAGTGGTTCAGGTTCTGCTCTGGGCAGTGACAGTCACTCACTGGTCTTTTGGGGTGCTGTGGCTCCTTTCTGGACTGATTTAGGGATACAAAGCCTATCTCTCTTTATCCAATACAAGTTTCCTAAAAGAATAAACAAAATGCAATCACTGTGTAGTTGAAAAAAGTGTGTCAATCAAATCATATTTGAAATGCTAATCTGGCAACTCAAAGGCAGCTTTTAGACTTATGGTCTCATTTGCAAAAAGGGGGAGATGTCTTTTTTAGATCTCTCACTCTAAAATTCTAGGGTTCTGAGAATCCTTTTATTGTAGTACTGTCTCCATCCGTTTTTTCGTGAACAGGAAATTTCACACATTGTGTTTGCTTCAGTGATGTATGTTAATTTAGATAATTTGGCCTAGAAGGACTCTTCCTTCCCATCTAAGATATTTCTTACTGGCACTTTCTTGGAATGACAGGTCATTTCACTGTTAACGCTTTAGGAAATTTACTAAATTCCCATTATCCAAGATTCATTTCTGTTTATTGCTTTGAGATGACCCCAGGTAATGGGGGCTTCAAAGTTATTCTTTGAGGCTTATGGCAACAGTTTAAGAGGTCACCAAGAGCTGTGGACAAGTTCTCACCTCCGTGGGGGAGTGGATTTTCCAAGTTATAAATCAGAAAGGCCACAGCTTTCATTTCTAATCTTGGCTATTTCTTTGGTACATTACCACTCCTGTGTCTTCACTGCTTCGTTTCTGACAACAGAGAACTTAGAAAGCCAGAGCTTGTGCCAGGGTAGAATATTGCCAGACAAGGTCCCTGTGAGTTTCCTGCTGTTTTAAGAGCACATTTACTTAGTGTTTTATAGTGTACAGACATCATTCCATTTGCTACTCATAACAGTCCTGTGAAATAGACTGAACAGCTGTATTTTTTTATTTCTTTATTGTGTGAATCTGTATCCTATTTACTACAAAAGAAATTCAAAGTGGCATAAAACAGGAACAAGCCAACAAGGAGATCAGAGCAGTCAGGACAGAAAAAGTAGAATAGCTAACACTTGTGAAGAGTCATCTGTGTACCAGGGACAATTCCAAGTGCTTTTAAATGTGTTATTAACCCGTCCTTACATCTGCCTTGTGAGGTGGGTACTATTATTCCTATTTTTACAGGAGGGAAAACTGAGACTTAGTGGTCAAGGCGCTTACAGTCAGGTGGCAGAGCCCACACTTCTGACCACTGTACGAGAATCCTGCTCTCTAATAAATAAGGCCAAAGGTCGTGTTAATGTACACATATGCGTGGCAGGAGTCACCACTGTTGTACAGAGGAGGAAAGTGAGCTGAGGCTTAGGTCAGTGGCATACACAGAAGCAGAGCTGGTCTTCTGTCTCTTAGTGCTGTTTCCACTGCCTCACATAGCATCCTTCTTAAAACAAAAAACACATGTCTTTCAGAACCTGGCAATTGGGGCAGGAGCCGTTGGATCTTTGCAGCTGACCTACATCTCTAAGGTAATGGCCCAGAGCTCTGGGAATTCATGTTCTGTAAGTAGGGTTAGTATCTAAACAAGAGGAAGTGTGGGATCCTTTGGGAATTAGCATTTGGGGGTGTCGCATAGGCAGTACAGTGCCCCCCTTCCTCACGGTTCCTATGGAAGCTCTGCTGCTGACCAGGGCTGGGTGGGGTGTGGTTAGCAGGTTCTTGGAGGGTGAGCCTGCAGCCTCTTACTCCTGGGACACATCAGTCAGCGATGCTCCCAGTTCTTGCAAAGGAAGTATAGGTGGTGGGGGTAGGAGTGAGACATGACGTTTTTTGTAATTGGGATAAAGAGGAACACAAAAACAACAACAAAAAACCCAGTGACTGTAAAGGATTCTCCCCAAGGGTATAGTTAAACAGGAGCAGCTCCAAGAGTGTTGGGGCTGCTCTGGAATTTTATCAGTCACCTGGACAGGATTACTGTGGAGGGAAGGCCAAGAATGCCCGAGAAGGTCCTCAGATGTGCCAGGAAACCATTCGGCAGCCAGATATCTGCTGGAGAGTCTGGCAGGCCGGCCAACTGGCCATCCACCCCCTGGTCCAGTTTGTGCAGACGGGGCGGCGGGTGCAGCCCCTTTTAGGTGCTGAGACGGGGGGTGGGGGCTGCGGGTTGTGGTGATGCCTACGCGTAGCTGCTGAACTCAGCTTCTTTTAGCAGCCCCTCCCTGGAGCAGGCACCAGAGCTGACCTGTGATGCAGCAGTGATAAAAAGACCGGGGGATTTAGGGCCTCGCCAGAAGGAGGAACTCTTTGTCCAGTGAGGAGAGCCAGGTGGTGCCCCACCAGTGCTGAGGTTCTGGAAGTCCTGCTCTCCCGAGCACCCCTCACTTCAGGCCTCTTGGGGACCCCTGCTTGTTTGTCCACGTTCTCCCACCCTCAGAGGGTTGAGATGGGGAGAGGGGAACCTAATCGGAGTGGCTGCTCTCTCCTTTTGGTAACAAGCTTTGGGAGTCCTTGGGTTCAGCCCTCCATCAGCTGATCTGGGGGCGAGTCTGGAGGTGGAGGAGGCTGCAGGGGCTGCAGGCGGAGTCTGGCGGACACAGCTGGGGGCAAAGGCAGAAGATGCCGGGCAGTGTGAGCAGATTAGAGACAGGAGATAATGACCTGGGGGAAGGGGGAAGGGCCTTTGAAAGCGAAGCTGTGCTAGGACAGCCGCGGGCAGTTTGTGCATGCCTTGTGGTAAGAAATGTGGCTGCCTCCCAGGCCAGGCGGGCCAGAGGCCTGAGCCCTTCCCTCTCCAGTCCGGTCTTGCTGTGAGCTCATTAGGTCGTTTCTTCAGGAGGTTTGGAGACAGAGAATTCAGAGAGGAGGGAGCAGAGAATATCAATATTAATGAAACCCCAAAGGCTCTCCTGTTTGAGAAGATTTTTTTGTTGTTGTTGGGGGAAGAGTGAATACAATTTCCTGCTGAATCATGATTTACAAATGCACCTCAGATGAGAGTTTTTAGAATTCTCCTCTTCAGAGCCTCCCTCATTTAGAAAGTATGGACCTGCCTTTTAGCCCTTCATGAGAGAGGCAGGCCTGGATGGGTTTTCAAAACCCACAGCTGCCACTGGGTCAGGTTTCACAGAGCTGAGAGCTTTTAACTCCTCCCTGACCCCATGCCAGAAAGCAGGGGTTTTCCCAGAAAAACATTTAGCTGGGTACTGGTGTCAAATTCCGCATTCTGGGTTATTTCTTGTTAACCCCTAGGTATTCCCTCCCAGAGGAAAGCGTTGAACCGCAGTGTCAGCCTGGCTTGTGGTGTATGTGTGGTATTTCTGTTCAGGGGTGCTCTTCTGTAGCTCTTTCTTGAGGGCTAGTGTTGGGAAGATGGGGTTCAGGGAGGCCAGCAGAGATGGAAGTCCTTGACTTGATGTCATCCAGGGCATCGATGGCAGCAGAACCAGTTCTTAGGCCAACTAGAAGATGATTGATGCTGGCCTTTGGTGCCTCCCACCTTGCCACTTGGCCTGATGGCCCCTCTCTTCTGCACAGCCAGCTCCACTGTTCCCCTCTGCTCCCCAGCTTGTGTCCTGTTTTGTCAGGGCCTTGCCCTCAGCTATAAGGAGGACCTTCCTAGAACAGTGGTTCCTAACTTTTTGGGGGCAGGGGTCATGGATCCTTTGGAGAGTCTGATGAAAAGTGGACTCCTTATATATGTGTGTACACACGCTGATTTTGCCTGTAATTTCAGGGCTCATTGAGCCCCTGAAGCTGGTCCAGAGACCCCAACTTAGAACCCCTCCAATCATTCTGTGTGGGTGGCTGCTTCTTCCTCTGGACCCTGAGACAGAGCTGTACCAGACCTCCAAGACTTGTTCTGCTGCTGCTGCTGCTGCTGCCAGAGGGGCCCCAGCTCCACTTCCGGCCAAGGGCAGACAGGGTGGGGCTGGCTAGTAGTGCTCTGCCACCAGGAGTTTGCTGCTCCTGTGGTCTGCGTTTGATCTGATAAGAGCGAGTACCTGAGAGTCTGTCAAGCTGTGGAGCAGCCTCATCTGCGTCACTCTACGGGTGACCCATGCCCACTCCCCCACTCACTGCTTGCATAACCCAGGACCTGCCAGTCAACCACTGTTGTGCAGCGTCTCAACTGTGGCCACCTCAGGGTGTGCCGATGGCTCACTAGAGTCAGTCTGTCAGCCACACTTCTTCAAGGTCTTCTGTCCCTTCACTATGTCTGAAGGGGGCTGCACAGCCTGGCCTAATCACCAACATGTGGTAGGGGTGGGGGGTGGGAGAGGAGTTATACCTCCCAGGGGGCAGGGATTCTGCTTCCGTGGTCACTGGGAAGTCGGGGAGGCCAGAGCTGCCTCTCCATAGTAAATGAGAGCCTCCACGTTGGCTCTTCTCTCTAAGGGGCACAGCAACAAGTAAATATGATTTTATTTTCCTCTTTTGTCATTTTGTGACTATAAAAAGGAGACTGGTAATTTCACTCTGGATTTGGTAATTGGGAAGCTGATCAGAGACATTGAGGGTCCTACCCTTGCTAAACAGCCCATCAGGGCAGAACTAGAACTGATGTCTTGTTAATTCAGCAAGGAGCTGCTTTGCCAAATGATCCTTCTGTGGCAATGCGTGAGGCATGAGGCAAATTATAGACATGCATGTGTGTAATCACGTATACCCCCTGACTGAAAACTGGATAAACATATAAAAACAAAGAAATGAAAAACCAGGCGATCTCTTTGAAAGCTTCAGTTCCTGTAATGAGCACATGGGTAGCATCATCACAGTATAGGCTGGTAATGAGTTGTCAAAGCAGACTGTTTGTTATCCAACCAGGGTGAAGAGTGTCTGCCAGTGGTGCTTTCTCTAGTGACTGATAAATGTCAGTTTCTAGGAGAAAGGGTGAGTCTCATAATGAGCCAGAAGGGGTCTGGAAGTGCCCAGCTTTTCAAAGACATTCTAAAGCCGAAAGTGGAAGTGGAGCTGTGAGATGGGGGGTTCTGAGGGCCAGGTTAGCCAAGGCAGTTCTACGACGGTCAGCGTCATACAGAGACCAAGGGCAGGACACACAGGAGTTTATGGGCACGAGGACCCGCAGGAACATGGGTGCTGAGGGATAGAGCAAGAAGACGCGTCACTGACAGATCGGCACATCAGCCACAAGCAGGATACAGATACACACTGTGGTTCAGATTGAATTCCAGGGTCTCAAACCCAGGGAAACAGAAGAGCAGGGGGGCCAGGACCGTGATGTCATGAGCTCCAGTGTGCGGTTCCCGGGAGTGGTGAAGACGTGCCTGAATTCCGATAGTCTGTGTTTGAATTCAGGATATGCCGGCTCACCTTTGCTTAAATCTTCATGTTTTCCAGACTATTTAAAGACTTTCTTAGGCCCTATGACCTCCACCTCACATCATGGTAAACATATCAAAACACACCCACATCCCTCGTTAAATATAATTGTTTGGCAGTAAAATATTTGAAAGGATTTTAATCATTTTACTTTTGGAATGATTTGGCTATGAGTAACTCATTTAATTTATGATTGGCTCTAATTTCTCGGCAATCATCTCACATACCCAAGGATTCTTGTGAACTAAGAAAATCGAAGCTGCTAATTATTTTCAAATGTAGTGAAATTTTTGTGAATGTTTAATTGAAACATTAATGAAGTTGACTTCATGTGATATTTTGTAGGCGTTTAATTAAATACTTGTCAGTGAGGTTGATAAAATGTTATACAGACATTTAATTAAATATTTATTAGTGTTGAGTATGTCATGCTCATTTTGTATGTTGGAGGCCAGGCTTTTTTTTTTAGGTTTTATGCATTTTTGTAGGCCCCTGAAAACCTCACAGGGCCCTCAGCATTTTGACTGTAGTGCCAAGCATGGCACTGCCTGTATTAACATGTGGAGTGGGATTTTAAAATAAATGAGGTATTGGAAGCTGTAAATAGTCCCTCCTTGATTGAGCAGCTTCTGTATGACAGGATGGGTTAAGTGCTTCACCTGCACTGTCACATTTAATGCTCATGATCGCCCTGGGAGAACCTGATATTATTTCCCTATTTATAGAACAGGAAATGGGGGTCACACAGTGGGGACACCGGGGCTTGAGTCCTGGCCCTCCTGTCCTGCCTGTCCTTCGTTTGATCTTTTACAGGCTGCCGCCTCAGTTCCTGTCTTGAGTATTTGGGGCACTATTAATTTTAGTTGTTAAGGAATCTGGGCAGGTCTACAGAAAGAACTTAGAGCCAAGAGCGAGAAGTCCAGACAGATTGGTGGGTCAGACATTATCAGACCCTTAGCAACTGTGAGCCGTGAAGGGACCTTAATTTTGACTCAAGATATTTCTTTAGCTTCTGCCTTCTAATATGCCTCTTACTAAAGCAAGAACCACTTCTGGAGCCCCCGGTGAGAACAACTAGGAGATGCCCTCGGCTGGAAAGGGGATTGAGGGAATGGTGTACAGGGATTATGACAATGTGTGAATAGTTCCTAGCCTAGGTCTCAGGGGAAGGTGACTGCCCCCTTAGAAATCCCAGGTACAGTGGTAGAGGCCTGCTCCAGGGAGGTTCAGCCTTCATCAAGGGTAGTCACCTAATCTTTGTGGGCGTATGATGGAGTATGAGTTGCTTTCCTTCATTTGTTCAATGAATTTGAACCTTAGTGAGGGAGGCTCACCTATGCACATACTCAGGAATGTGCATGCAATGGGTAGGATTGAAAAAGCAAGATAACCTAACACAACAGGAGGTGTAAAAATGTTTCTACTTTCTTAGGCCCTTTTCCTAAATGCATAGGTACGATCTCTGATTCCATGGGCCCCTCTCTGGGCGTGTTTCCCTGGTTAAGGAGTCAGGGTAGATACAAAGGAAATTGATCATTGTGTCCAAATGCAATGAGTGACATGCTGTGTCACCTTTCTGCGAGCCCTAATTGGAATCTGTGTATTTGTAGCAATACCACCTTCAATTTGGAGAACTGTTTAGGGAGGGGGCTTGGTGGTTGAGAGAGCAGTGGAATCTTGCTAGTGTGAAGGGGGCCAGTACAGGTTTTGTGGTCCAAAGACCACACTTTTAAAAGTGTTTTTGTAAAGGTAAAGATTAACACAGACATCAAGATAGTGGTTATCTCTGAGGGGTGGGGATGGGATCCTATGAGGGAGGGGCCTGCAAAGGGCTTCTAAGAAACAGGACTGATAACGGGCTATTTCTTAATCTGGATGGTGAGTACTACAGGGTTTCCACTTAATTATTATTCTTTAAAATGTTCACATATGTTTTATATACTTTTCTTTATGTATGAAAAGTTTCATAATAAAAAAATTTAAAAAAAAATGCTTTACAACACTGTTAAAAACATATTCCTGTTTCTTTTATTTTTTATTTGATTTAGGTGAGCATAGCCACTCCAAAGCAGAAACCAAAAACTCCGTTTTGCTTTGGTAAGTAACTGAGCTGGAGGATGGGTTTTCTGAACACGCCTTCAGCAACTTCCCCTTTTGTGTGGATACAGTCCTGTGATCACATGTGACTTACACCCTGTGTGTATGAGTGACTCCAGTCACAGCCACGTTCCTGGGTCTCAAGTGATACTCTTTCCTTGGTCTCGCTGCAAAGATTGTTAATAACGTAAGACAGAGGTGCAGGAACTAGTGACGTTTCAGTTTTCCCGCCTCTGCAGAACAGGGTGCAAGATATTTACTAGAAGTTTCTAGGAACCCTCATCTCAGAGCTGAGTAATGGTGTGCTCAGGAAAGGTGGAGACTTGGGGGTGTTGGGGGCATAATAGAAAAGAATGGGTATTCTGTTGAAACTCTCAGTGTTGCCAAATGTATGACAGTTTTGGGGGTGACAAAAGAAGCAGAGCCACTCAGTGGATGCCTCAAGTCATCGAGTCATCAGTATTTATTTGGCTCCCACTATGTTCTCAGTACTGTACTAAGTGTTACAAGCAGTTGCTAACAGATAGTTTCTGTTGCATATCTAGGGTGTCAGTTCCATGAAGGCAGGGGTGTTCCTATTGTCACTGCTGTGTCCTCAGCACATGGAGTGGTTCCTGGCACTTGGCGGGAGCTCAATAAATATTTGTTGAGTGATGAATGAACTAATGAATTCTGTGTTTACCCCACGATGCCCACCTCCTCTAGTTCAGGCTTGAGCTGTCCTCTCTCCTAAGTTCAGGTTGGTTCAAGCTTCTTTGGTGCTGTCATTCTCCCATTTCTTTCAAATATCATTGCTAAGCTCAGAAATGACTCTCAGATTTTGTGGTCAGCAGATCTAAAAAAAATTACGAACCCAGAAGTAAATTGTTGACGTAATGGAGTGCTCAGAGGAAAGAACAGGTTGAAAATGAGGTCAAGGTCACAGATTTGATCTCAGGCAAGTTTTGTTCCATTTCCCAACTACAGACGAGACTCCTAACCCAGGCCAGTTGTGCCAGTGGAAACAAGGAGCACTGGGGCCAAAATTGTAAATGTGTCGTCATGACTGTCAATCTGTGAGCGCCTCTAAAAAGCAGTTCAAGCGTGTGTCTTGGTGTTGGCAGACAGCAGCCTCCTCACTGCACAACGGCACGCTAAGGCTGTTGCTACTGTTGTCAGGTGTCATTCCTGTGGCCAATGGAATAATCCACATTTTTGGAGAGACAGAGCAGTGTAGCCTGCTGCTTCCTAAATATTCATGCGTGTGACTTCACACCATGAGAAATGTCTTTGTCTGCTCTGTGGGGATCCTCTACCTTGCTACTTCAAGCAGCTTAGTTTTGTGGAGTCTTTTTGTGGTGCATGTGTTCTGACCTGGGTTTTTCTCCCTTCTTCCCTATGACTTTTGCAGTCATCAATGCCCTCTCTCAGAGGTATTTTCTTCAAGCCAATGACCAGAAAGATCTGAAGGACTGGGTTGAAGCCCTGAACCACGCCAGCAAAATTACTGTACGTATGATTCCTTCTCCTTTCTGGAGGGAGTTGGAGCCTCTTCCTGGCATGTGGCCTGTTTTGGGTGGGGAAGAACTCAGATGGTAGCAGGGTCTTTCCCAGGAGCTTGTTCCAGACCCAGTTCCCCCTACCTCTTCTTACACCTTGGCTGACTAACCACAAGCTGAACTGAGAGTTTGAGTCTGAATCAAGTGCAGGGGGAAGTTTATGGAGTGTCCCCTTTGTGCTTCCTGGGAGGGCTCCTGGCCAGTTGTGCTTTGGATCATTCTGGGATGCTGATTCAGAACGTGGTGGGATTGGAAAATGGATTGCTGATGATGAGAAGTCAAAGGAAAAGCATATGAGGAGGGAGTCAGCACTTTTTCCTGGCTTAAGGGGGATGCTCCTCTTACTTTGAGAGGTTGCCTTGGGGGTCAGTCCAGGCCATCCACCAAGGCATCCTGGAAAAGCCTTCCATTTAAAAGCAACACTGAGCTGGTTCACCGACTGGTCTATGAGTCTCTCATTTTCTTTGACTTGGTTGATGAAGAACTCCTTTCTTCTTCCTTAGAAATGTAGAAAAAGAAAGAGACAAGGGTAGGAAGGAGGAGAGGCAAAACTATATGTTTTGGAAAATCTAGACCTTTAACCAATAATATAGGCAGACTTCTGGTATATAAATCATGGTTTCTGTGCTGAAAAGTTGGATTTTCTATCTCGTACAGTCAGAAATGCTTACATTCTAGTGACTTCCACAACTAACCATTATGTACTGGGGCAAATTATTCTCCCAGATACCTCAGGGAAGTATTATTACCCATGAATAAATTAGTAGAAGGAATCTGCGCACTTAATCAGCACTTGTGATGCTGGGCCCAAGCAGAGCACAATTCAGTCATCGAAGTGGTTTTGCTGGTTAGCTTGTTATTCTGATAAACCTTGGTAAACCTGTGAAAAGACAGAGAAACGGCGGAGGGGAGCTGCCGCCAACTCGCATGTGCCTGCCAGCCCATATGCTTGTGTATGTGGCTCTAGAGTACTGATTTGAGTAAAGATTTTCTTCTTTCACGTTGGGCTCTTCACCCTCTACGTCTTCCTCCGTTTGGGGAGTCTCTCAGTGTCTAGTACTTTATTCTCTCCTCCTGGATTTCCGCCTCCGTTCCTGCCTGGTGAACTGGGTTACACAGCCTGCGAGACAGTGGGGAGCCTCTTTGCCTTTCTTCTGTGCCTTAAGCATGGAGTCGCTCTAAGCAGCTCATTCCCCTGCCTCTTTTCTGGCCCCACGGAGCAGAAGTTACAGGTTACAGGAGTGGGAAGGAGCATGATGGTGCCCAGAGGCTGGAGGTGCAAAGGCCTGCTGGAATGTCAAAGCTTTCTTCAGCGTCTCCACAATCTCCAGGGTCCCCCTTACTTTCCTTTGCTCCGTTTATACGTCTCTTCACCCCTCCTGCCAAAGGTCCTGTGGGATAGAAGGAAGAGGAGGGGTATACTGCTTCCTAATCCTTTTGTGTCCTGGAAGAGTTTACTCCTTTCTCCGCTTCCACAAGCCAGCCCTGGTGGTCTAGTGGTTAAGATCCCGCACTCGCACTGCCATGGCCTGAGTTCATTTCCTAGTCGGAACTACACCACCTGCCTGTCGGTTGTCACACTGTGGTGGCTGCATGTTGCTGTGATGCTGAAAGCTATGCCACCAGGATTTCAAATACCAGCAGGGTCACCCATGGTAGACAGGTTTCAGCAAAGCTTCCAGCCTAAAACAGACTAGGAAGAAGGACCTGGCCACCCATTTCTGAAAAAATTGACCATGAAAACCCCGTGAATAGCAGTGGAGTGTTGTCTGATATAGCCCTGGAACGTGAGATGATGGCACAAAAGACTGGGCAGGGTTCTGCTCTGCTGTACACAGGGTTGCTAGGAGTCGGAATTGACTCGATGGTACTAACAATGACAGCCACTTCCACATCATCCTGTGTTGTGTGTCCTTCCTTAGGGAGGCTGGGATGAAGGGTAGATGTGGGGCTGGGACACCGTATCGATTACAGACATTTATTTTAGGGTACCTTATGTGCACAGTGAAGCATCAGGCACTTTGGGAATTACAGAGATGAAGGAGGGAACAGACAATGTAGTGAGCCGAGCCTTCATACATGCCATATCATTCGCCCCTCACGTCACTCTTGTGAGACAGGTGGTTTTATTGCCTTTTTTTTTAGATGAGAAAAATGGAAATCAGAGTACTGCTCAAAGTCTAGAGGTTAGTAAATGGTAGAGCTGGGATTCAAGCCCAGGATCCACTGATTTCCAAGACCTAGGAGTTTATAAAAAATATTAAAAACGAAGGGCCGGCCCTGTGGCATAGCGGTTAAGTGCACGTGCTCTGCTGCTGGTGGCCCGGGTTCGGATCCCAGGTGTGCACCGACGCACCGCTTGTCAGGCCATGCTGTGGCGGCGTCCCATATAAAGTGGAGGAAGATGGGCACAGATGTTAGCCCAGGGCCAGTCTTCCTCAGCAAAAAGAGGAGGATTGGCGTGGATGTTAGCTCAGGGCTGATCTTCCTCACAAAAAAAAAAAAAAAAAAAAAAGAGCAAGTGTTAAAATGTGTCAGATTACACACCACTTTTACATACATGGCTTCATTTTAGCCTCATAGAAACTTTAGGTGGGAAGGGCAAGTGTTGTTATCCTCATTTATAAATGAGGAAATGGAAGTGCCTAGAGATCAAAGCGACTTGCCCAAAGTTATGGAGTCAGGATGGGTCCAGCTTTTCTGCCCCCAGATCACTGTTCATTTTATACTGAGGTCATTGAGTCCTTTGACTAAAGAAAATGATCAACATATGATATTTAAAGAATTGGGTTCTCTCAAAGTATTAGTATTCCTGTATTAGTTTTCTGGGGCTCCTGTAACAAACTGGGTGGCTTAAAACAACAGAAATTTATTCTCTCACAGTTCTAGAGGCCAGAAGTCTGAAACAAGGTGTTGGCAGGGCCAGGTTCCCTCTGAAGGCTCTAGGGGAGAATCTTTCTTTTCCTCTTCCAGCTGCTGGTGGTTCCTGGCACTCCTTGGTGTTCCCTGGCTTGTAGTTGCATCACTCCATCTCTGCCTGTCATCATATAGCCTGTGTGTCTGTGTGTCCTCTCCTCTTCTTATAAGGACATTGGTCACTGGACTTGGAACCCACCTTAAACCAGTATGACCTCATCTTGATTTAATTACATCTGCAAAGACCCTATTTCCAAATAAGGTCACCTTCTGAGGTTATGGGTGGACAGTTTTGGGGGGACATTATTCAACTCCCTGCATTTCCTAAAAGGGTTGAAAATAGAGCAGTAAAAGTACAGTACAGCTTCTCCCCAAGTTGGATTATTCCTCACAGCAGTCTAGCCATGCCTGGTGGGAAGAAAGATGAGTCCTTGCAAATTTCATTTCACGTTACAGATGAGATCCCTGTGGATCTCCCCCATGAGAGAACACTCCACAGGGGGACAGAAGAGCTCACACCCTTAATTAGGCCTCTGGGATATGGACAAACCAAAAGAATGACCTCGTTTTCAAGATGTGGAGCATAGTTAGTGTTGAGTTTGTCATCCACAGGCTGATGTAAAGCCTCAGGAAGCAGAAACAACTTTGGAAAGGCTCTGGGTGGTTGGTGAGAAGCAGCCCATGATGCAGGGATGTGAGCGGTGACAACTGGTGGTTCTCTGGCTGGGCTGACAAGATTCTGAGAGGCAACATGACAGCCAAGCTTCTATGAGTCCTTTTCTGGCCACTGGAACTCTCAAAGGCTGCTTCCCTCTTTCTTTGCTGAGTTTCAGGAACTCATTTGGGTTGTTTGGGGGGAATTTCTGCTGTTTCATGGTGGTTATATTACTAAACATCCAAGCAATAATCAACGTCCCTGAAGAATTCCAAGACACAATGGCAAAAGTCAGAAACTTGGAAAGGTGGGGTAGGTAGGTAGGTAGGTAGTGGTATTTAGCAATGGGCAGTTGGGCAGTCCTGGGGGCAAATTACTTCATTTTAATGAGCTTTCATTGATCTCATCTATGAAAGGGAGAAAATAATGCCTATTTGATAAGATTGCTTGAGATTAGAGATAATGCAATAAAGAGTTTAGCACATTGCCTGGCACTAAATGGAGGCCCAAAGAAATGGGAACTGCTATGTCTCTGAGATAGCTGGAAGGAAAAGAGAAGGGGGATTTCTGGCCCGATCTGGAGAAGTGGTAGGCAGAGGTCACCCTTGTCTGTGTAAACTGAGTGTGCGGGCTGGGAAGAGGGGTCTCTTCTTCTTTCTGGGGCCCCAGTATAATCACGGTGGTATTACTCCTTTGGATAGATTCCAATGGAGTGGTCCTCAGTCCCCATTCATGGCAGAATTCTCATACGGCCCTCAGGTATGAGCTGTTGAAAGGTCTGGATTCTTAGGTCTTTCTGACTCCCAAGGCTGTAGAAGAAGCAGAAGAGGATGTTAGCTTTTCTCAGGGGGCTGCAGTTACTTTTCTGGCAGAGCCACTCAGGGCACTGAATTCTTGTGAAGGAGAGGCTTCGCAATGCTGTGGACACCGTACCAGCTGGGAGTCAGGTTTTAGTCTCTGGTTATTAATCATAGCTTTGGGCAAATGACTTAACTGTTCTGGGCCTCTCTTTTTTTCTTACAAAATGAAAGATTTCATCAGCATTTGCAGACTCCAGTATAAATGAGTGAAGTGGGCGAGGAGGAAGAAAAACAACATAAATGAGGATAAATGGCATATAACACGTGGCTTTGGTTTTGGGGAGAATGGTAGGGACAGTGGCAAACTGAAGAATGTATTACTCCTCTGAAGAGGAAACGGCTGCTTAGCTGGAAATCTGGATTTTTACAAGAAATATCCCAAATTTTAAATGTAGATTGAAAAAACACACTGCATAGGGCAAACAAAACACAGTTTGAGCAAAGTCTGCCTTTGGGCCACCAGTTGGCAACCTGTGGCTTGTGGTTTCAAACTAGCCATACAAACTCTGTGATCATTTGACCAGCCATGGTGCTTGACTCTGTCAAGGGGAGGAACAAAGGTAACTCACTGTTCAGAAAGAGCTGTGTTTGTAAATGTTAATACCATTTGTGAAATGTTAATTTAAAATATTTTATAATACTTTTATATTTTTATTTGCATTTCTAAAGTTTTTAAGTTTATATACTCTCTCACTTGATAACCACAGCAACTCTATGATGTAGATGTTATTCCTCTTTCCATTTTATACAAGACAGTTTTGGCCTAGAGAGAGAGGTTCAAGGATTTGTCAGAGGTCACTCAGTCAGTTAGTGACAGGTCAGGAGTTATACCCCAGGCCCTTGGGCTCCCCAGTTCTGTACCGTGTACCACGTGTGTCACCTGTTCCCCCTACCAAGCCTGCTTTCTCCTGTCTTTGCATTCCTGGTTCCTTCTCATCCTTCAAGTTACTGTTTCAGTGTCTCCTCTGGAGACCTCTGCTAACCACTCCATTTCAACTAGTTCCCCTGCTGCTCTGTCTCTCAGCTCCTGTTTATTTCCTTTATGGCACTCACCACGGTGTGTAATTATTCTGATTGTTTGCTATGCATTTTTTGCCAGTCTCCCCTTCTAGCATGTAAGTGCTGAGAGGGCAGGACATATGTCTGTGTTTGCTGTTTTATCTTTGGTCTCTAGCAAGGGAAGGGCTGGCTCATAGTAGGTGCTCAGTACATTTATTAAGTGTGTACCTGTGTGTGTGCACACACACTTGCGTGTGGTGGGGGTTGCTGGCAGAGTCCCTCATGTTCAGATATGGATTGATGGAAGGGCTGGGGAAGAGAGGGGTGTCTTACTATAATTTGGTACATTAGCTTTTCTCACCCATCTCCCTCCCCCATCCTACTTTTGGCTCCCCACTTTTCCTAACCTTTGGTTTCTTGTTGACCGTGTTGTCATTCTTCCCAGGTACCCAAAGCTGGGAGCCTGCCCCTGACTACTGAAGTTCTCAAAAGTCTAGCAGTTCCTCCCGCCCTAGAGAAGAAGCCGCAGGTGGCCTACAAGACAGAGATCATTGGAGGGGTGGTGGTACACACGCCCATCAGCCAGGTGCTGGGGCTTGGGGCTGCCAGGGGGTAGTGGGGGTATGGTAGTGTCCGTGGTATGCTAGTGATGTGCACAGAGGACTGTACTGAGAACACAGTGGATGGGAGTCAGGGAGCCAGTGCATATGGGTGGTCAAGAAAACACAGGGCAGGGGTGGGTGTGAGGGATGGCAGTGCAGAAATCGAGGCCACCATATCCTGAAGCTGTGTGGCTAGGGCGGTTCTGCACCATACACAGGAGACAGCACTTGTAAGCCCCATGGGAAGTGGGGCCCTGGAAGGCTGGTGAAGCTGGAAACAAGCCCACTGTCACTCCTCCCATTCCCCTCCTATCCCCTCTTCTGGTTTGTAGTCTCCCTTTCTCCTGGGACTATCCAACCTCCCTGAGCCTTGTTCTGTGAAGGTACCTGGTATAGCACCTGACAGGAGCAAAGTTAATATTTATTTTCTTGTTTACTTTCTTCTTTGACTGCCATGGTGGGCAAAGAGGCAAGAGCTGATTGGCCAGGGGGGCTGGGTGGGGCAGGGGGTGTGGCTGCGTAAGGAGCCCGAGGGAGGTGCTAATCCTGACACTGTTTCCATGTAGAACGGTGGAGATGGGCAGGAAGCCAGTGAGCCTGGGTCCCATGCCCTTCTTCGAAGGTCTCAGAGTTACATCCCCACAAGCAGCCGTGTTCCCACTGGGCCCCCACTTATTAAGAGTGGCTACTGTGTGAAGCAAGGGAATGTGGTGAGTGTCCGCATGGGGGCTGGAACGGGTGATGGTGGGTGGGCGGGGCCGGCGGGGTGGGCTTAGCAGAGGGGAGAACAGGCTGAAAGGAGGCGCTCTAGTTCTCCGTGCTAGCCACCACCCAAACTGGTTAGAGGTTTGAGACCAAACGTTGGTTCCCGCTGGTCAAAAGTATGACCCCTGATAGGGAGAAGTCTCCCTCCAGAACCTGAATGTGGGACCCTGGCTCCCATGGAGCTGGGTCCCCGGGAGCTTGGAACGAGAACACCCTCCTGGGAAGAATGCTGGGACCTCTTCCTAATGTTCTGCTCTTTACTTTTTATTTCAGCGGAAGAGCTGGAAACGTCGCTTCTTTGCTCTCGATGACTTTACCATCTGCTACTTCAAGTGTGAGCAGGTTTGTAGTTGCTCTGGGGCCCTTCTGAGAGGTCATGGAAGCAAGAGGCACATGAATTACACCCACATGTGTGTGCATGAGTAGAGACGTGGGCACATACGCAGATTTCAGAGGTGCCTCTGTCTTATCTCCACCCAACCGTGTGCGCGTCTTTACAGTGATATTAAAGTGCCTTAACTTCCTCCCTCCCTTGACACAGTGACTGCTCTGTGCTCAGAGCTGCAGAGCATCTTCTTAGATTTTTTTTCTCTCTTGACTATTTTGAGATCTTGCCTTGTTTACCTCCTGGTTTTAGCCAGTAGTTTCTGACGGGAGAGGCACATCCATCAGCTGGTCTGGGTCCTGGCATTATGCGGACAGCCTCATTTACCTGTCTTTCCATTTTTTTCCACCAGGACCGAGAACCACTGCGCACTATATTTCTCAAGGACGTTCTCAAGACCCATGAGTGTCTAGTCAAGTCTGGGTAATTGTCTCTGCTTATTCTCTTCTGATCAGAACCTCCGTTTACACTCTTACATCTTCATTTCCTACCCTTCTGAGACTTCATTCAGAGTCTGCTTCCAAGAGCAAGGGATGGGGCCTCATGTCTGTGGCTGACTCCCCACGTTCAAGCTGACACAACCATGAGACCACACTGGGCACACTTACCCACTCTCATTACCTTACTCTGGCTCCCCAGGACATGAGCCTATATCATAATTTTCTATTGGAGAAAAAGAAAGAATGTAGGAACAAAGAGGAGGATGGTATCAAGGTGCTTCTCAGGTGTTCAAGTTAGATGCTCCTTCCATGGGAGGACTGGGGCTCAGAGAGGGGACTGTGCCCTTAGTCACTTGCTTTTCAGCACTTCTGGTCAGATCATTGCTAGTGCCAGTACCTCTTCCCTGAACTTCTTATGCGTTTTCTCTTCTCTTCCTTTTGACAAAGTCCCTGATGTCACCTTAACACAAGGGTGGTTCACAGCAACTCTTTGTGACTCCTGTTGGGCAGGAAGAGCAAGTGTTTTTAATGTCTTCCTTTTTCCCCCAGGAAATGGTTACCTCCCAAGTGCCGGGATGCATAGGATGAGTTTGGGACCTGGGGCCCCTAGGCAAGCATTCTCCCAAACCCAACACCAAATACAGATATGCCTAGAACTAAACTTTAGAAACCCCAAGGGCATCTGGACATCTAGAAATCCTTATTTTGCCCCTCAATCTGCAGTCTTTAGGGACCGTATGTTTGTGTCTCTCCATCTCACAGACTGCGCACGCAGAGCCAGCGTCATCAGGGAAGCTGTTAGCAGCAGACAGACTGTTCTCACATGAAGGCATGGGAGGGTCTTGAGTGACAACAAAGTGCTGTATGACCCAGGGAAGCAAGGACAGGAGCACTCTGCTGGGTCCTGCAAATGGCAGTTGCAGAGTACAGAAGATTAGGGAAGTTCTCCCAGTGACAATTTATTGTAGATGGAAAGTTCCAGAAGTGTGACTCCAGAGGTTGACAATGGGTAGAGGAAATATTAGGCATGACTGAATCCTTGGAGATGGTTCCTGACCCTAGAGGGCCTGTGCAGATAGATGTCTGACCACCTGGGCAGGTGGGGGCGGCTTAGTGAACCCAGATAAAGTTCAGTCCTAAGAGTGCTTCGTGCTTTACCTAAATCTCTAACGCCAGGGTCAGACTGAACTCTGACTAAAAGAATTAAGGGCGTTGAAGATCATGAGGGAAGGAAGTCCCAAGCCTCTGCAGGTTCCAGGCCTGTGAGATTGTGCAATCAAGGGGATTTAGGGCATCTGAGTAGTCAGCGAACATTTGTTGAATTGAATTGAATTGAATTGAATTGAAAGGCAACATGTAGCCTGAGAAGTAGTGAAAAGGATGGGGATTTCCTCCTTGCTTTGCTTTTTACCTCCTCAGTAGTTGATTACATGGTTGATTACATATGTGTGTGAATAGTTTAAAAGGTTAAAACATTTTAGCCAGAAAGAAGAGCCATCGCTACTCAGAAACTCAGAAAGTAATAATAATAGTGAAGGGGGCCAGCCTGGTTGCGTAGTGGTTAAGGTCGCATGATCCGCTTCGGCGGCCTGGGGTTCACGGATTTGGATTCTGGGCGCGGACCTACGTACTGCTCGTCAAGCCATGCTGTGGCAGCATCCCACATACAAAATGGAGGCAGACTGGCACTGATGTTAGCTCAGCGACAATCTTCCTCAAGCAAAAAGAGGAAGATTAGCAACAGATGTTAGCTCAGGGCCAATCATCCTCACCAGAAAAAAAAAAAATAACAGTAGTGAAATGTGTTTCAAGTGACCACTATTTGACATGCATCGTACCAGATGCCTCATATACCTTATAATTGATCTTTGTGATGACCAGCCCAATAAAGGAGGTCTTCTCATCTCCATTTTATAGTTGTGGGCCAAAGGCTCGCAAAGTTATAAAAATATTCCGAAAATACCTTTTCCCTCTGTGGAGTCAGGATTTGGCCCCAGGTCCGTCTGACCTGTGTCTTGCTGGCCCCTCTCAGGTGGGTCTTTAGTCTCATGCTCCTCCTTTGCCCAGTGCCCATGTCACTGGTCAAGCGCCTGCCATTTCCTCTCACGTCCTCACTCACGAAGCCAACCCTGCCTGTGATCAGTCCTTTCTTGGAATTATTCTAACACTTGGCATGTAACACACAGTCTAACATCTGATTGTATCGTTTTGCTTTTTTATGCTCTTTTACTGGGAAGGAATTAAATCTTTCACTCTTTAGATATTCCTCACAGTGACTCGGTACGCACAGCAGGCATTTAACACCATAAATGATTTCGGCTGATTTGAGGTTTATTACCGACCATCAGCTAGTTCTCGCCTTCTTCCTTGCAGAATTCAGGATCCCCCTTCCAAAACTCACACCCAGTTTGAAGCATCTTAAAGTAGTCTACTCTCTCCTTCCTTTTCTTCTCTTTAGCATCCGGTCTCCTCAGCCCAGTACAGTGAGGCACAGAGCAGGCATTTAGTGAAGCTGAAGAGGTTGCTGCTTAGGTGGAGGAAATGAGAAAGTTGGCTCCCTTAAGAGAGGCAGACGGTAGTGGAGTAATTGAAAACATAGACTCTGGAGTCAGACCTGGGTTCAAATCCTGGCTCTGCTGTTTACTAACACTGGCACCACGGGCAAGTGATGTAACCTCTGAGCCTGGGTTTCCGCATCCATAAAGTGCCTCGTTGGACTGTTGTAAAGATTGGATGAAATAACACACGAAAAAGCACTCAAAGAACAGATTGGTGGTTGCCAGAGGCAGAGGGGCAGGGGGTGGGAGGCAGGCAAAATGGGTGAAGGGGTCAAAAGGTACCAACTCCTAGTTATGAAATATAAGTCCTGGGGATGTACTCTACAGCATGGTGACTATAGTTAATAATACTGTATTGTATATTTGAAAGTTGCTAGGAGAGTAGATCTTAAAAGTTCTCAGCACAAGAAAAAAAATTTGTAACTATGTGCAATGATGGATTTACCTAGACTTATTGTGGTAAGTATTTCACAATATATACAAATATCGAATCATCATGTAGTACACCCAAAACTAATATAATGTTATGTGTCAATTATATCTTGGTAAATATGTATATATAACTAATAAGATTTTCATCTACTTGACCCTAAAAAAAACCGCACTCAAAACAGTGCTTTGTACAAAGCACTTTATACATCTTAGCCACTAAAAATCCCCACAACTTTAGGTGGTGTAGGGTGTGGTGGGTATTAGGAGGTTTTAGAGAGAAAAGAGCTTTGTCCTGTTAGAACTGGTGGTGGTATGTGTGTTGGGGGATTCTATAGGGATGGCAAGACCTCCCAAGACCTTCTAGGAAGTGAAGCTAGAGGAAAGCCCTGTAGTGTTTTTTGAGGCAGAGGCTGAAGGAGGAATGGCCTGAAAGCCCCTTTTTATGGTCCAGGGCACTGGTGCCTTGACCTAGAACAAACCAGGTCCTCAGTGTGTGCCAGCATGCCAGTAACTTCCCTTCTCTTTCTCTGTCTAGCGATCTCTTAATGAGGGACAACCTGTTTGAAATAATAACAAGTTCCAGGACCTTCTACATCCAGGTAAGGAGTTCACTCTGAGAAGACTTGGGCGTTCCATTTCTGTGAATGATGTCCTCATAGGTCTTGACCTTTTCTTTGCTTTCTCTTTTATTTTGTTTGAAGTTTCTAGGTGGTAAATTTAGCCCCCGGTAGTCAGTCTGAGTCCCATTTTATTCTAAACAGGATGTTTGCCGAAAGCTTCCCAACCATGAAATAATAAGAGCAGGTTGAGCCGCTATAGTGGAGAATGTGAGTTCGTACCAGCTGCTCTCAGCTGCCGGGCGCCAGCTAAGCAGAGAAAAGGAGAACTGGTCAGTGGTTTCACTTCTCCTTTGGAGGGTATTTATAAGCCCCCTCTGTGTGTGGACATCACTGTGTGCGGAAGGACAAAAGCACAGAGGGCCCTGTGCAGGGACCAGGTGCAAAGCCCAGCTGCACAGAGAAAGCCATTGTTGGGCTCTCAGAAGCTTCTGCCCTCCACCCACAGCTTTGGAGTTCTCCCAGCTCCTTCCAAAATCATAGGAGCTAGAAAGGCCGCTTTCCAAGTAGGGCCTAGACTTTCAAGGCCAAGTCCTTACCGCAGCCGGCCTCGTAATCCACAGAGCGTGCCTTGATTCATGCAGCATTATGATAATGCTGCATTTCTAGCAGTAAGACTGCCATGTAGTGTGTTGGTTTAAATGCGGGGCTCCCCAGCCAAAGCTTTTCAGGGTTCCCAGTGCCCGTTCTTCTTTGTTCCGTGTCTCTCCCCACTAAACACCCTCCCTTCCACAGGGGTTGCCCCCTCCGCCCTGTCTTGGACAGCAGCTCCGCTCGTCCTGACTCCCTCCTGACCCCTCCGAGCTGGTCCTCCTGCCTGCGCCCAGCAGAGGTGCTAGCAGCCTGAGCCACCTGTGGGTTCCATTCATTCCAACAAGCCTGTGCCATCTGGGAGGGACAGGGTAGGGGCTGCGGAAAGTGTCCCTGGCGGTGTTAGTGCCGGCACCATTGCCATTCAGGGATAAAGTTTAAACTGTAGGTGCAACAAAAGCCTTCTCAGTTTTGCATTTAACAGCTATTTGTAGAGTCTCCTCAGAGTGCCGGACATTTTGCCTCATGCTGGGGACACTGCGTTAAACGGAACAGATCCTGAACCAGAGAGAGAGAGTCAGTCAAGTAAACAGGCAGTTAAAACTGTGTGATGGGGTGGGGGAGGGAGTGTGGAATAGATGAACATGGGGAGTTTTTAGGGCAGTGAAACGATTCTGTGTGATACTGTAATGGCAGATGCATGAAATAGAACTTTCCAGCACAAAGTGTAAACCTTAAAATATGCAAATTAGAAAAATCATTTAGTAGGTCAAGTGATCCCAGCATAGACTGCAGAATATGACAGAAAAACCTAAATGTATTACAAGTATGAAACAACCTCACTGATGAGGGTCGGGGAGTAAAAACCAAAAACCAAAACAAACCCCAAAAAACAGTGTGATAGGTGCGGCCATTAGAGTGCATGGTGGTTGCCATGGGAACTCATAAGCAGGGCCCCTCCCCAGTCCCAGGGAGTCTGGAGGTTTCCTGAAGGAAGACACATCTAAGCTGAGTCCACTGGGGGAAGAGTGGCCCAGGCAGAGGGAACAGCACATGTGAAAAGCCTGGAGAGAGGGGCTGGCCTGGTGGTGTAGTGGTTAAGTTTGCACGCTCTGCTCTGGTGGCCCAGGGTTCGCAGGGTCGGAACCCCAGGCAAGGACCTACGCACCACTTGTCAGGCCATGCTGTGGCAGACGTCCCACATATAAAGTAGAGGAAGATGGGTACAGATGTTAGCCCAGGGCCAATCTTCCTCAGCAAAAAGAGGAGGCTTGGCAACAGATGTTAGCTCAGGGCTAATCTTCCTCACCAAAAAAAAAAAGCCTGAAGATAAAAGAAGCACAAGACATACAGGAGGCTGGAAAACAGATACGGAGGGCTCGTGGCCTTATATGCCTTGTTAATATGAGAGTTAGGGCCCCTCGAGGTTAAATTAATCAGATATGTCTTCTAATACTGTCACTTGGGCAAGCCTCTAACTCTCAGAGCCTCGTTTTCCTCATCTGTAAAGTGGGTATGATAGCCCCCAACCCTGCCCCCTTTGGTGGTGCGCTCACTGTGAATTGCCTGGCCCAGTGCAGTGTAGAGGACAGAAGAGAAAAGGGTGAGATGGGAGAGAGCAGTTTGAAGGCTGTTGTAGTAATTTAGGTGAGGGATAAAGGAAGTCCAAACTAGGATGGGTGGAGAAAAGTGGAAAATTTAAAAGCTGTTGAAGAGTCCTTGGTTGTTGGTTGGATGTGGGGTGAAGGGAGAGAGGAAAGGCAATGACACTGCCCAGATGGTTGGCCTGGGCCTCAGGGTGGCTGATGGCAGCAGTCACTGGGATGGGAGCACAGGAGGAGAGACTCTTAGAACAAAGACAAGCCCAGCAGAGGTGGTTCTGAGTTTATAGTGTCTGCAGGACATCCAAGGTGACATGCTATGAAGGCCCTTAGATATACAGTGCCTGACAAATTGGTGGTACTAAATAAATATCTGTCAAGTAAATGATTATGCTGTGTAAGAGTTCAGGACAGAGCTTCAGAGTGGAGATGGTGATTTGGGAAACATGAACCCCAACAACAAAAAAATAGTCAAAAGACGTTGCATCATCTGCATGAGCGCGTGTACATTTACCAGAAGCTTCTCATCACTTCTGTCCTCCTTTGCCTTCTGCTCCCACATTTCGGAGATAAAAGAACACTAGCATCATCCTAAATAAATAACTGAGTGAATGGACAAATCTGTGTATAGCACCTAACTCGAGGATAGAAAGTCAGAGAAGAACATAGATTAAAAATCATTAAAAGTGTGTATTAATTCATTTTAAGATAGCAACTATAAACTTGTTTATGTTAACACAGTAACATTTTATGAGAAATAACTATGTTTCTAAAACAAAAGCAACAAGAGTAGCATTGTTTTTTATGTTTTGCAAATCTCTTTAATGGCTGGCTTAATAGGAGACAGCAGGATTCTCAGATCTGCCTCAGCATTCTGTCTGTGGCCATATGTTGTTTTGATTGAAGAATATGAAGAGAATCTGGCTCCACATAGATATGTATTCACAAAAAAGGAATATTTTAATAGCTTTTTCAGATAACTGTGGATATTCTTCTTTGATTCTATACCAAAGCTTGACAAACGGTAGTTTCTTATTGTTTAGGTGCAATGTGGAGTCGGAAGCCAATATCAATAAACTTTCACATTCTTACGTTAAAATCCATTCGTCAATTTTGCACTTTGAATGGATCCTTTTTACCCGTGCATGATTTGGTAACAGCATGACTGGTCATTTGGAAAATAGTGGTCTCACCAAGGTATGCAGATCTTCCAAATGTGGACACATTTTATTCTATATCAAAAAATCACATTCATTAATATCACCACCAGTATCATCAGTAAAGTCTAAGTATGGACAAGCTGTCAAGCTCGTGGAGGTGGATACAAGTTTTGTGAAATTCTAATTTTTGCTTTGAAAGCTCAAAATTCATCATTTTCAAAAAAATAGTTCCATGATTTTTCTTAACATAGGCTCATTTCATTCATTTTTGAGAATGAAAATGAGTCTGCCACATACCTAAGTCTGAATAAGTGTGACTGACAGTTTGTCAGTCCTTTGATCCAAGTGAAAATCGTTTAATGCAAAAGGTGGAAGAAGGTAATGACTACTCATACAGTTTGGTGCCCACAATTTTACCCACGACGTCAAAGTGGCATTCTGACCTACTTCCTGAGTTATGTTTAGTCAGTCTGCCTGGAAAAACCATGTATCCTTGGTATCTAGGAAAGCTAGACCAGAAAGCAGGGCAGATCTAGGCGGAGAAAACAAACTCCTTGGACAGACGAGGAAGACTTGGGCAACAGAATGGGTTGGATTCCAGCTACTTAGGTGCTGGTCATTAACCTTGTATGTCACATTTATGTATAATTTGTACCCTGTGATTTCTCACACAATAGTAGTCTTTTCTGTTAATAAAAAGCTACTATTTATTGGACACTTAGATGTCCCTGGTACAATGCTAACCAATTTACAGGCAGCATATCACTTAATTCTCAGCAGTCTCTGAGGTCATCTCCATTTTACAGAATAGGAAACGCAGTATCTGAAGGTGAATTATTTGAGGTCATAAACCTGGTAAATTATGGAACTGATTGGAAGGCACCAGGTGCCAGAGCAAGACCTACTCGCTGGTGTTGTTTCAAAGCAGCGTGGTGCAGACCCCAAGATGTAGAGGGTGTGGCCATGGAGAGCCAGAGAGTCCGACTCTGAATCGAGGAAGACCAGCTTGGGGTAACTGGGTGTCTTGCAGGTGGATCATGGTGACAGAGATTCAGGATCTGGTAATCATCAGGTATCTAAGCTTGAAATGTCAGCAAGCTCATCAGCAGATTGATGGTTCTCAGTTCTGGGCAACGGTGCAAAATGAGATTTCAGTCTTTGGAATACTAGGCAAGCGGGGTTCACCATTTCTCCATTTCCCAGTCATAGAAGGTCAGGGGTATTAAGTAGCTTATCAAGAGAAGGATTAGTTAATAGAACTGAGAAATGTAGTGCAGACTGGTTTTGGTAACTTGGCACAAGCCCAGTTGTCAGAACTAGGGGCCATGTCAGGACAAGAGTAGTAATAAGAGGGCTCACACATGAATTGCAGAGGTCGGGCTAGAATTTGGATACTTACTGTTTTAATTAAGACTACAAGGTGAATGACAGCACCTAGAACTATGTAGTGCACACCCATACAGTTGTATGTGGCAGGGCTGTGTCTAAAGATGGGATTGGTTCTTGGAGAGAGGGCAGGGGTTATTAGCTGTGGGGAAGGGAGGGCTGCAGAGGTTAGGAACAGAGGAAGAAGGAATTGCCTAAAAATTTTGGACACTTGCAATGGAAGCAACCAGAAGTAGACACTGGAAGCCTTTTGTTGATGATGTCTAGAATTCAGTGCTTCAAACCATTGCATCTGTTGTGGTGCTGGGCTCATAGTAGATACTCAATTGACTCTCACTGGACTGTGATAATACCACAGGCAGCAGGGACTGGTTTTAATACCCTGTGTTCCTCTCACCTCAAAAACTGCCCTCAAGGACAGAAACCCTACTTTTTTCTTTTGAACCAAGCACCAGAATCATGCACACACTTAAGCACACCAGGAAAAGATGCAGGTATGAGCTTAGCACTTCCCTTTTTGTTCTACTGAGTTTTAAGTGTTTTTTAGTCTCTTAGTCTCACCACGGGCTGGGTGGACTTCAGCTCTGTTTTTTTACCTCTGGTTCATGAAACTACTTTTGTGATGTGGTTTTAAGATATTTCTGGGTGTTTGATGAAAGGTGAGCACAGGCTTTCCGTAAAAGATAGATATACACATACACCATAATTTTTGCATACGATTTTTAAGGTTTCACTGAATTTTTGTTTCCAGTGGATCCCAGTTCTTAAAACTACTAATAGAGATTATAATGTGATCTCAGTAAAGTAATATTCTATTTCTTCTCATGTGGGATCAGTTACAATATCTGTTTTTCTATTTGAATGATACTCTAAAATAATGTTGATTACTTAAACACTAAAATAATGTTTACTAAGGTTTATTATTATTTTCCTCGTGGCTAGATTCACTACCTATGTTATCTGGCAGAAAAATATCCTTAAACAGAATTAGAGTATTAGGGAAGAAATATAATTAGCAAACAGTTTCCATCGCTATTAATTACTAAATGTTTTAAGAAAGAGCTTTAATTATTTTGCCTATTATATTAGCAAAGATTTTTAAAAATTGTAATATTTAATTTTAGCAAGGGTGCATGGAAAAAAAGATAATATCTTGTTGGTAAATGAAAGCTATATTGTTGGCTAGAAATCTCTCTGGCCATATGTCCCAAGAGCCTTAAAAGAATGCATGCTCTTTATTCTAGCAATTTCCCTGTGAGCCGAAGAATCTTAAGTATGAAAAAGCTTTATGCACAAAGATGTGAACAGCAGCATTATTTATATTAGAGGGGAATTGGAAATGATCTAGACGCATTTTAGAGGATTTTGATTCTTGTGCTTGAGTCCCCGGGTGTTGTCAGGTGATTCCCAGTTTTCTCTGATTCGGTGATTCCTTGCGAGGTGGAGGCTGGGGTGAAGACACTCAGGCTTATTGTGTGATAGGTCCTAGAGAAGATGTGAGAGTTGGTTGCTGAGGTCTCACAGGACAATCAGATAGGTGGCCTGTGGCTTTTGGGGATACCATTTGACATGAGGGAGGTATTTTGCTAGAGTGGTGGAAAGAGTCGAAGTAGCTTAACAGCCCTGGAAATTGAGTACTGGACTGCCATCATATAGGGATCTTGCAGTCTGTTTAGTGAAGATGCCAGGTCTCCTATGCGATGTGGGAGACGTTTGGCTGTCCCTCAGCTCCCATCTCCCTCTTTCTTTCTCTACCTTCTGACATTTCCCCCTAATCCAGTCATCTTCTGTTTCCCTAGAAGGAAAATCTCTAAGAAATGCTTTTCTACTAATGGACAGTTTAATTACCTCCAGTTCATTCCAATTCAGAATAACCTCTCTTCTCTCCCAAATACATTATCTTATTTGATCCTGACAGTTTGATCCTTTATGTAGGAATTATCTGCAGTTCGAATATGAGGAAACTGAAAAAATAAAGTCTCAGGGAGAGGGTAGTGAACATATTTATAAAGTTGGAATTCAAGGTTTCATTTGTGTCCCTAATTTATAATAATAAAAACAACAACAGGAATAACTAATACTTACAAAGCCCTTTCTGTGTTATGAGGCACTGTTCAAACTGTTTTACCTAAATGAGTCCATTTCATTCTCCCAATAGTTCTTGTGGAATAGGCTTGCCCTAACAGTAGTAAAATACCCTCTGGAAGAATCTTGGAGACTTTGTCCTGGTCATCCTTTTGGGCTAGGAATGGATTTGTCTTTTTCTTGGGAAACCACCAGGTTGTCACATAACTGGGAAGAGTGAAGGGGAGGAAGAGTGCAGGTGAGTTTGCAGCCCTAGCATGTGAGAGAGTTCACCTTGGGCGCTTGGTGTTAACACCTTTTGACCCAGCGTGCCCCTTGAAGGTGTCTCCTGCGCATGCCTAACCAAGAAAGGCTTGTTTGGGGTGACAGAAAGGGGTAGGGATGCGAGTTTGAGGATTTTTTTAAAAACTGGTGATGTTTTATCCTGATACAAGGCAAAGAGAAAGAATCATTTTGGGGATGGGGAAAGTGAGGGTTATATGTGGAGAATTTTGTGGGCCGGGGTGTGGTGTTTGCGTGTACGTATGCACAGGCACGCAAACGCACACTTGTGATTTTGGGTGGGAGTATTAGGGGAACGTGCAGGGGGACAGAGAGAGGTTGACAGGTATACATTTCTGGACGTCAAGGATTTGGTCTTGGTTCCACCTCTATACCTGGCACCTGACACCACGTGTAACACAGAGTAAATGTTTGCTGGTTCACTTGAACTCAACCCCTGTAAAGCTGGACAGCACTGAGAATTCCCAGGGTCCCCCTGCAGCCTTTTCGTTTTCCTCCCTTTCTCCACAGAGCCGCTGCTGCCCCCTTCTGGGGCTGGTAGGTATTTCTGGGGAAATACTTGAACCACGCAGCAGTGTCCTGCATGTTGTTAAGCGTGGTGCTCCAAGTCTAGTGACTCTCCAGGCCTGCATGGAGAGTCAAGACAGACATTGGCAGCTCATGCTTTGAGAGAAGCCCTGTTCCTGGAGATAATACATATCTGGGGGGATTTGCAGAGGATTTGGCTTTACCGGGACTGGAGTTGAAAATGGGATTATTCTGTTCAGATAGCTATAGTGGAAAGATAACTGCATTGGGAGTCAGGAGAGCTGAAATCTTGACCAGCCAGAAACCTGGACATTTGACTTTCTGGGCCTCATTTCCCTTTTCTGTAAAACAGGAGGCGAGACCAGGCCGATTGTGTTCCAGAGGGGTGAGGGACTTCAGTAGGGGGTGGGCCTCTAAGCTCCCCCTCCCTCATGACCTCTGCCCCACTGCAGAGCAGCTCCACTTTGAGCTGTTTTGTTTCTGGGGTGTCAAATAAGATTTTGCAGGAAAAAAATATCCTTAAAAGTCTGAAAGCCACTGAGCTAGATGATCTCTGAGATCCCTTCCAGCTCTAATGGTGTGATTTTATAAACTTAAAATTGACTCAGAGACTTGAAAGCTGAAATCATAGTGCCCAAAACTTCTCTGTAAGTGCTGTGGGTATTTTGCAGGCGGACAGTCCAGAAGACATGCACAGCTGGATTAAGGAGATTGGGGCAGCTGTCCAGGCCCTCAAGTGCCACCCTAGAGTAAGTCACTTCCTTTCTGTCACATAGTCACTGTCAACTTAGAGATGAATTTTCCCTGAGTGGGCAGGTTTTCTTTGGTGATGTAGGCTGGCAGCCCGGTCCCCGGATGCAGCTGAAGCCCCAGGCTGTCTTGTTTGTTTTTCTCTTTCAACTGATTTGGGTACCAATTTTTTGTTTGTTTGGCTGTTGGAGGAGATGAGGGAGGGTTGGATAGAGAGACAGTTTCTGACGTGTCCTGCACCTCTCCCTGCCGGGCAGATCTTGACACATCTGCAGTGAATCCTCTTGGATGTGTTTGATTTCTGTAGACAGATGTCTCTGGACCTCTGAGGTGGTGATCCTGGGTGGGTACTCTTCCTGGGGCTCTGGGATAAACACTGTCAGGAAAGCTCTTACTTTCCTTTGGTTTTTTTTTTTCTTCCCTTTTATTTTTATAGGAAATGTCCTTTTCTAGATCCATTTCTTTGACTCGCTCTGGAAACTCCAGCCTCTCAGGTGGGCCCAACTCTGTCCTATGCAGAGGGCGGCCACCTGTGGAAGAGAAGAAAGCCCTCTGCAAAGCCCCCTCTGTGGCCTCCTCCTGGCAACCCTGGACACCTGTCCCCCAGGCCGGGGAGAAGTTGCTTCCAGCTGAAGAGACTCCTGAGGACTCTTTCTTCACACCTCGACTTGGAGAGAGCAGTGCTGCTGGGGTCCTGCCCAGCTCCCGGATGAGGCACAGATCGGAGCCCCAGCACCCCAAGGAGAAGCCATTTATGTTCAACCTTGATGATGAGAACATACGGACCTCTGATGTGTGATGAGACATAGTGCCTGGGAGGGAGGGGGAGGACTTGAGCAAAGGATGCCGTGACTCAGTTTCTCTCCCTGTTGGAGGACAGTCAGAGGCCTTTATGCCACTTGTATTCCTGTGGATGCTCTGTGGGAGGGGCCCATCCAGCTGGCGTTTTTCTTTAATATCAATGCAGTGTATTTTGTTTGGGAAAATCACTGGGTTAGACCTGTAGGCATGCCTAGTGGAGAGTGGGTTGCCTCTTGTTCAGCTACTCCAAGGTCTTCCTGGTGAGGAGGTCGGGAGTCCTGTTTCATCCCTAACCGAGTTTTATATCCTTGTCCTTCTTCTAGTTTCTCCCCTTGTCTTCAGGCCAGGCACAGAATCTTAGACCAGTCATCTGGTTTTATCCTATTCCTGTTATTGGCTGAGGTTTGACTGTGACTAGGAGGGTGGTACCCGTCTAGCTGAGGGGAGGAAGGGGTGATGGAAGACCCAGGCTCCAATTTGCCTGGGATACGTTCTGAGGGGAGGTGTTAAAATCTGGGGGCTGGCCGCTGGCCCTCAGAATGTCTACCAGTGCTGATCCCCCGAGGGAAACTCCAGAGGGGAAGAAACAGGGACATCTTGTAAGGTGTGGGGAATAATTCAACCCCAGTGCATCAGCCAATTTTGGGAGTCACTCTGTTCTTGTTTAGATGTTCTTTAACCCCAAATACTGCCAGCGTGAGTGACAGACCTGCCCACCCAGTTTCTGTGTCAGGCCCCAAGGATGGGTTTATCAGTGTTAAATGTTATGACTGTTGTGAACAGAACATTCATTTCCCTTGATGTGGCGTTACTTGGAATGTGTGGAAGGGTGATAAGTGTATGATAATTCACTTGTGTGATAGGGCAGATCTCTATTTTGGAGTTTTAGATTTGCTTTAAAGCAGCTGCTGGGAAGAGATGGATTATAGTTCATCCAGCTAAGCTTTTTTCGATCCATGTTTTTCCAGCAGAAGAAAAGGTCTGTTTTAGCAAAGATGAACTATCTTGAATCCTTGCCTCACAGGTCTTCTTTAATGGGCCAATATTAGTCTATTTTTTTTTTTTTGAGGAAGATCGGTCCTGAGCTAACATCTGCCAATCCTCCTCTTTTTGCTGAGGAAGACTGGCCCTGGGCTAACATCTGTGCCCATCTTCTGATGCCACCACAGCATGGCTTGACAAGCGGTGCGTTGGTGCACGCCCGGGATCTGAACTGGCGAACCCTGGGCCACCGCAGCAGAGCGCGCGCACTTAACTGCTGTGCCACCGGGCTGGCCCCTATATATTAGTCTAATTTTAAGTGCTGTATTTTGTATACTCTGCCAGATTTGCTTTCTATCTTTTCTTTGTGTTGCCCTTCTTTTTTTTTTGTTTTTTGGTGAGGAAGATCAGCCCTGAGCTAACATCCATGCCAATCCTCCTCTTTTTTTTTATGCTGAGGAAGACTGGCCCTGGGCTAACATCCTTGCCCATCTTCCTCCACTTTATATGGGACGCTGCCACAGCATGGCCTGACAAGTGGTGTGTTGGTACGTGCCTGGCATCCGAACCTGGGCCGCCAGCAGCAGAGCGCGCGCACTTAACCACTACGCCACGGGGCTGGCCCATTTGTGTTGCCCTTTGAATGAAGCCTTGTGGACCTGCATGATCAAACCTTGTAATCTGATGAGGTTCCATGTACTTAACAGCAGAGAGATACAAAGATAATCCTGAGATATTTATATTTTTAATAGAATAGAAACTGCATAGAAACATTGATTTAGAGGCTATGCAGTTGTTGACTAGAGATTTCTCAGGCAGAAGAGCATAGATTGCATTTCCCACCCAAATTTTAGGGTGTACCTTCTTCCATTTGACAGGAAGATACTATTTCCAGGGTCCCTGGGAGAATTTGTCTATCCAACTGATGTGGTGAACTGCTACCAGGAATTTAACAGGGTTCCCTAAAGGGAGGGAGAACTTAACTCATTTCTGTCTATAACTTTTATCAGCTAGATCAGTTATATCTTTAAGTTAAAAATTAATGATTAGAGGAAGAGACTGAGAGAAGCATTTTCACCTCAGTAAATCCCTTCCCCTTTTATGTCCAAATCTAATACAGAGGCGAAAACATGACTAGAAAATCCTTAGTGGCTTGAGGGAAAACTGATGTTTCTCTCAGGCACTGTGGTTTCCTTGAAGTCTGGTCATGTTGAGAACTTTCCTTGACTGCACTGCGTTAGAGCTGTCCTTCACTTAAATTGTTTGGCCTAGTGGTCTTGGTATAAAAAAGAAAATCGACCACTGGATCTCTCTCTCTCTCTTTTTTTTCTGTTTTCTGCAGACTCTTGTCTGCTTTTGTCTTCAGAAATCCTTGTTTGGGGAATTATTTACTGATGAGTGATCGAGGTTACAACATACTTCAGGTAGCCTAACATCAAGAAGCCATTCCAAATTCTTAAAGCCCCTTGTTTCTGGTTTCATCTTCAGATTTTCCTGAAGAAAATTCTTTGGGTAGGTCAAAGATAGTGCACAATAAGTGATATTTCGAACTACTGACAATAAATTAGGAACTTTTGATATCTCGTGAAACATTCCCTAATTCATGGAAAGATGTCATCTTGTGGTGTTTAAATTGTGAAAATACCCATTTCTGTCTTTTTTTTTTTTTTTTGGTGAGGAAGATTGGCCCTGAGCTAACATCCATTGCCAATCTTTCTCTGTTTGCTGAGGAAGAGTAGCCCTGAGCTAACATCTGTGCCCATCTTTCTCTGTTTTTTGTGTGTGGGATGCCACCACAGCATGGCTTGACAAGCAGTGCGTAGGTCCGCACTTGGGATTCAAACTTGTGAATCCTGGGCCGCCGAAGCAGAGCATGGGAACTTAACCACTACACCACTGGGCCCGCCCTTCTCTCTGTTTTTTAAAATAAACTCTCTGTTAGATTACTACTGCTAAATTAATTGGCCATTATAGTAGCTGCTATGTTGCTTATTCAGTAAGGTCTGTTTTGAGAATATGTTAAATTAAACATAAATCCAGATTGTATTATCACGATAGAGGGAAAACAAGGACTCTAGTTGGCAGATACTTGGGAATTCCAAGTTAGAACATTGTTAATGTAGTTCCAGCACCAGAAAAATATAACTATCTTCAATGAAGCCTAAAACCATTCTCATTCCCAAACCTTATTTCAGAATTCCTTTTGTGTCCATATTTCTTACCCTCTGGCCAATTTCACATTACAACTTTTTAATGTCACTACACGTATGAGCCAAAGATGCTGCATATACGGCCAAAGCATTTGGTTTTAAACGTATAAAATGGAACCAAATGGAAAAAATAGGGTGGAGATGCAGTATAGGTTAGTAGTTAAGTGTGTAGTCTCTGGAATAATCTGAGTTTAAAAAAAAAAGACATGGTACTGCATTTTCTTTGTGGAATAAAAACCTTCTCTGAGTTGTGCTGTTTTCATAAGACTTTTGAAGTGGTCTTGACCCACTGTGTGAACAGTGTTTCAGGTGGTCTTCCCCATAGCTGAACTGTTTATTTACCATCCGCTATTCTTGAAAGCTTAAGGATTTGCTTACTCAAAGTCAGTTGATGGTTGGTAAACATAGTTTGGCCTTTTGCATTCTGAGACATCATAAATATATTAAGGTGTACATTGAGTAGAGTGACCTCAGGTCAAAATATTGGAGTTACACATCTATTTCTGAGCAGAATGCTGACCTTCCATGAGAAAGAGTAGATTTAAGGTCCTGCTTCCTAGTTCACTTGAAGCAAAAGGTTTTTTGCCTTTCTGAATAGAACTGTGCTCTGATAGGGGCTAAAAGGACCCAATAAATAAATAGGTTCACTAGCTGACCAGTGGGATTTGATATCTGTTTTCACTATTAACCAGATAAACAGGCATATAGAGGTAATAGTGTTTTGGAAATTGAGTTCCCAAATCAGCTTTGTCTATAAACTTTGAACATGTCAGAAATGGTTTATTAAATCTTTTTTACCAATGTCACTTTTTTCTCTGTTTCTGTCTTCTGTGTGTTATTGCCTGCAGCAGTCCGTTACAGTCACTCATGCTAGGTAAAGTTTGAATAAAGTGAATGTTTGGCAAAAAACATAGTTAGACTCTTCCCCCACTGCTTATGAAGGTGTGGCATGATTTCATGTTTTGATCTGGTGTGTTTCAGCTGTGAAATGCACTCACTGTGAACACGGGGCTGAGTGCATGGAAACTGTTATGCTTCTCATTTTATGTGATCTCCTAACTGGTGTGTAGCAAAAAATAATTTTCTAAAACTGTTTTGTTGCTTGTTTTGTAATAAAACCATGTGAAATACTGAAATATGGTGTGTTGTACTAACGCTGACCTGTCCGTGGGTGGGTGATGTCTCGTCAATCTGCCCCCATTATTGGTTTTAGGGATTTCACGAGGTAGGTCCTTGCTCAGCGTCGGGCTAGGGACGGCTCTTCATTGCCTGGGGGATGTATGGGTGTGTGTGTGGAGAGGTCTGCCAGGTTCTGCCCCTTAAAGTCTGGGGGCTGGCAGAGGCGGCGCCCTAGCCGGGAGAAAGTGCTGCTCATTTTAGAGCAGTTGCGGTTCATCCAGAGGAATGTAATCGGGGAAGTGGGAGCGAAGAGGGACGGGAGCAGGATGAGCAGACCTCTGCTGCGGCCAGCCGGGGCCGGACAATTCCTCCTGCTGTGGCTGCTGCTGCCCCCGGTGCTTGCGCCCAGGGTCGACGCTAGGAGGTCCTGGCCCTCGCTGCCGTGCCCCGCGACCTGCGAGCCGACGCGCTGCCGTCCGTTGCCCACCTGCCCGGCGGGGGCGACGCCGGTGCCCGACCGCTGCCGCTGCTGCCGCGTCTGC